TATTATTTATGGTTATTTTCATTTGAAATTTATAACCGAAAAACCATATGATATAAATAAGCAAGTGTGTCGCACAACGGGCAGCTTTTCCTGGTCCCCGGATCCGTATTTTCATATTGGGAGAGGTCAATCCCCGGCGTCACACAACTAAATTCGTTTCATTGTTTCACGCTTTTCTCGAGCAGAGAAACTTATGGCGGAACACTTGACTGCTTTCATTGTTCTATTTATTTATAGCATTTCACTTGCCACTTGTTGTTTACCTATTTTCTTGAACGCAACATGAATGTGGCTTGAATTCAGTGAGAGGAACAACTTATTCGAGTGGTCTTGTTCAAGTGGGAGTTATTCGTCTGATTAGGAACTTCAAACTGCTTTCGCAGTTTTCAGGTGAAAAAGATTGAAGCTTATTGATAAGGTTTCATATAAAAACATTTACATTTATTGCATTGCATTCCAAAGTTTTCGTCTTCAAAAGTAAATTCCTGTTACTGTGTTCAAAGAGTTTATGTCTTTTAGTCCAAGCCTTTTTCCTGAAACTGATAAACTGCAACTTTCTTTAGTTAATTGAAAACAAAACTGTAACAAGAATTTATCTATGTTCGACAAGTAAATCAATCAGATATTTCCCAGTAAACCAAACGTTCAAACGCATTTGTGATTTACCTTAGGCAAACAAATCTTGCTATGTGGATAACATGTAGCTAAGTTTTGTGTTGACTTTCCAAATACACTCAATTCTGAATAACTATCAAATTAGTCTGTTTTAATGACAAACGAATTTTGATGGAATTCGGTCAAGCTTAAAAGGTGCACGCTATTAAAATTAAACCATAAATGGCATCTTCATTGCTATAAAATGATTCAGTCGCAACTAAAGTATGCACCTGACCAAAAAAGCAGCTCAATGAATATTTAAATTCTGTGGCGTATTATGGCCAACTATTTGGCAATAAAATTTAATGTTTGATAAGCTGATTCTTTAATAGAATGTTTTTAAAGGATACTTTATTTTCATAAATTCTGAATTAACTACACAAAGTGTGTTTTCGATGTGAACGCTCTGCAGTGCTTCATGTGAAAGGTGCTTTATTTACTTAAACGAATCTGTGGCCTTCCTTTTGAAAGGATTTATGTCGACATATAGTATACAGTGTATGCCGAAGAAGATACTTTTTCCCAGAGAAGACATTAAATTGTGCGCGGATAGCAGGACAGAACTTGTGGGCGGAATGAGAAATGTTGCGTCATTTCTCAGGACTGACAACATGGACGTTAACACTTTAATGCCTGTCAGTCGCATAGCTCCTTAATCGCTTAAGCGGTTGACGCGCGGGCGAATTCCCGGCAACCCTTTGGGACGACATGAAATGTGGGCCAAAAGAATTAGCCCGATTGCCAAAATGACTTCCATTCTTGTTTATTACCAAACAGTGCTTGCATTTTTTGGCTTAAAACGAACATCCGTCCTTTGGGTCCTTATGTCCATATGTCCATTTGTCCATGGCATACTCCTGGTATCCTGCCTGCCCCAGATGTTTAGCATTTTTCTCCCATTTTCCCTACTCGTCTGCTTAGTTTTTCTTGCCGTCTAGTAGCTAGTTTATTTTGGCCATTTTCGGTGGGCGTACAATAATGTAATGCGGATCAGCACGCTTGACTTGCGCAACTTCTGCTGTGTGCTTTTGACACTTTGTTGCTCCGGCTTTTCCGCTTTTCCCCCCAGCTTTCAGTTTTCAGCTTTCAGTTTTTTTTTGGGGTGGTCCTGGTTTGTTAATCCGCTTTGATGCCCATCCGTGAGATACACACATATAGTATGTTTGGCCTGGCCCGGTGACCTCCTGTCATCCACTGATGGACGGATATACTACCGTCATCAGTCAGTCAGCTGGGTGGCCGAAAGTTTTTCGTTTTCTGTGTTTTGTGCGTGCCACATCACTGATTGCCGATTGGGATAGATTGTATCGAGCATGGGGCATAAAAACGATTGATATCAATATCGGGCAATGGCGAATACAAGTAACACGTGACTGGCGATGACCTGTCATTAGGTCCTTCTTAGTTGCTGACGACGAGGCAGTGCTTTATGGCCATCGCTTTTTGCTGCTTCGAGCATCTTGTAATTGAGGTCGTGCAATAAAATTCTTGGCCACTTGCAATTTAATGACCTCATACCGTGTGTATTTTTCTCTTGTAAATTATGCTCGCTTTTATTTTGTTCTTTTCTCTCGTCTACCAAGTTTAATCCTAGATGGTTGCAACTTTTTAGCTGATGCCGGCAAAGAGTTGAAAACTCCGCGGGTGGAGCTTCAACATCCTTTTGAATTGGGTTTGAACTGGGGCTAGGACCATTAAATCTAAGCATTTAATTCGGTCTTATAGCCTTGGGCGTAGAACAAGCTTTATATGCAATTGTTGCCAAATACCACCGACGTTGTAAAAATCGTATTTTATGGTGGCAATTGAATGGCGAATGGGCGTGGAATTGAGTAATGAAAGCAATGCGGGTACCGCTTCAAATAAAATTTCCAGCGAGCGGCAACCACAGTGGCAATCACAACTGGGTCCCCAATGTCGCTGACATTGTCAACAATTATTACTCTGATACGTTTTTTACTGCACCCAACGTGCTTCCCTTTTTTAGCTGGCTTTTGAGCAATGACTTGCTAAATGCTTCTCCCAACCCCCCAAATGGCCAATTAATCAGAGATGTGGTCATAAATCAGGCAAATTTTGGTTCTAACTTGAATACATGGAAAAAATCATAAACTGTTTCATATTTAACCATCTCATGGTGAAGGAAAGAGGATAGAAATCAAGAATAATATAGTGTAATATATACGAACAGGTCATAAGTCATTCAAACTCTAACTACAATATAACGAAATTCGTAATTAAAAAAAAATCTTTTTGCAAAATTATGTATGTTACTTTTGTGCTTATAAACAGTCTGTTTACTTTTAAAAATACTACCTTTTCTGTTTTGAGGACTAAGTTTATTTGATATCTCATTCGCTTTAAAAATGTAAACATTTTTCTTTTAAATTCTTGTTTTTCCAAATATACAATTTTTTAATACGTTTAACATTTTGTAACAATTTTATATTTCACCAAATATCTTATTAGTTTTTTCTCCCATGTTAATTATGCATTTATGTTAGTCTACAACTTTTCTCACTGTGTATCACCCAGAGGACCAGGACCAATTTGCTATCTGTCGAAGGCCAGCTGACGGTTGGGAAACTTTTAGCTCAGCAGCTTTTGCGCTTTTCAGCGTACGACTGCCGGGGTGAAGGGTCAACCAGGCCATTGTGTCCCACGCTGATAAGCCGATCCAGAAGTTTCGCTGCACCTGCCCAGGATGCCTGTCAACTGTCATCTGACATCTGTTGGCCTGGAATTGGGATTGGGAACGGGTTCATTGAATTAAAATCTTAATTGCTGCAATAAATTCGTGCAAATTCTGCGCTGCCCAGCTGAGCAAAGTTCCCACAATTTGTGTAAAAATGTCGTAATTGGCGTAATTAGCCAGCGTTTTGCAATCTCTTTCTCGCAGTTTATCTCGGTCTCTTTCCGTTCATCTGTTTGGGTTTCCTATTATGCTATTGGGCGTTTTGTTATGCTAATTGTCCGTCTTTTTTGTGCCTTTCGCACTTGTCGCTCTCAACTTGACCTATAAACGGCACATGCAGAGCTGGCTGTCATGGAAAACTGTGACTGTGACTAATTGACGACCGTATACGCAACTTCTTTGTCACATCCGTTTCCGCATTCGTTTTGCTTTTCCGTCACCCTTTCTCCATTTTCCATTGTCCATATTCCATTTTCCATTTCTCATTTCCCCATGGGGGCAGGTGTGCCAGGGATTCCCATGAAACATTCATCCACCTGGCAACCACATCAGCCGACTAATCATGATTAATTTGCATCAATTTGAATTTGGGCTATTTTTAGTCAAGCGGCACTCGTTGCATTGTGCCGCCTTAATCGTTTCGAGTAGAGGTAGAGGTCTTTTATTACCTCACGGGAATGCCAGCGCGGCTTTCTCGGATTTCAACACTTGACACTCGTGTCACTCAAATGGACAAAAATTGATATATGACATGGAGCCAGCCAATCGAATCGCAATTTCTATATTGATGAACTTTGAAATCACTAAGAAGAACACGATATATCACCAGAAAAGGGGTGGCCTTAAATTCAATTTCATAGTCAGACAAGATTTTCCTTTCAAAGCTTAAATTTGATATAGTAGTTCAATATAATGTTGTTTTTGCCATTCTAAAGTTCTTCTTGCATTTTACGGGCCTAATTAAAATTCACCCTAATTGACTCCCAGTTGATGTGAGTAACATATTTAGTTACATGACTAATTACCACATAAAACAAATGATATTTGCAAATTACTTACAACTGACACTTAATTCAATGCCTAGTGATTTACACAACAATTATGAAGGCAAATTAAATTCAGTATCAGGAGTTGCCGTTTTAAATTTCATTACGAAAATAATTGATTTGTGTTAAATCCTAAATTTTTTGTTTGTGTGCGTTTCTAAGCGAATACCTCTGGGTCAGGATATTCAAACCTCGATGTGGAAAAATAAACATTCAGCTGTTTTCACTAAATGACCATCCGAAGGGTTGTGGGAATCTCGCCATCTGGCCAAGGCAGACGAACAAACTTCAGACAACTTGGGGATACAAGCTTACTGTTGTGCTTTCTTTGTCTGCGACAACAAGAAAATGTTTTCATTTTAGTGTCCTCAGAACGAAAAAAAGGACCCGCAGACAGGAATTACAAAACTACGTTTAATTGTGTATGCATGGGTCGGCAGACGACACACAAAACTTCCAATGCATAATCGAGTGTGTTTTCATAAGGAAAAAAACCTTTTCGTCATCGGCACACTCACTGATTCAGCGAATTCGGATCTTTTTGATGGGATTTCAGTTCAACTTGATTTATGGGACTATTTTTTTTTCTCCTCTTTTTGCAGATAGCATTAAGCGCTGAGCGAGTGCCACTTTAACCGCCAGCAACCAATGTCCTGATTTTACTTTGCCCAAGAACCGACGGAGGGATACCTATATACACAATTAGCCACATTGGATGGGTCGTCGGAATAGGCTTCCAAAAGTTTTGTCCCGCACACGGAAACCGCAGAGGAAGTTCTAGACAACATCTTCCCGGGGCGAGGAGCCCGAAATACAACCGGCGAACAAACAAACACAGGCCCAGATGTCGGACACAATCTCCTTCGAGTTGGGCTCGGCAGCCGACCGACCCCCCAATAGGTTTCAAGTGAACCCGGTCAACGGCAACAGTCGCAAGACACAAAGTTCGGGTTCGGATGGCCCAGAATCAGGATCGGAGGTAGTAGCAGGAACAGGAGGAGCAGGAGAGGATGGGCCCCATGAAGTCTACCGTCGCCTTACGAACGCCGAGGGCGAGCTACTCGAGGACGACACATTCGATGCCACACAAATGCTCAACCAACACCAGCCCAGGCAGCAGAGGTGAGTCGAACGGGTCAGGGATCAGGGGCTAGGGTTCAAACGGCATGGACCTATACACTTAGAAACATCAGGGTGTTGCTGATAAATCGAATATTTTAGTATGAAACAAACACAAACCCTTATTTTTAATATATATGAAAGATTATATTATAAATATTATTTATTGCACTTGTTAATTCTATATATACTACTTAAAGACTTAGAATATTTGTATTTATTTGAAGCATATTTCTGAGTACTATACCTCCATCCTTTTTTTTCTTTTCCAATTTTAGCAGGTTTAAAAGTTAAGATGCAAACAAAGGGTTTGTAAAATTCCTCTGGTAAAACTAGCACCTTAATTTGTAGTTTGTATCCTTTAAAATGGTTTTCTAAATTTGTATGTATTTCCCATTAAAATGGTTTTCATAAAGCTCATTGCATTATGGATTTTCTACTACTACTTCTTTTTTCCTTGCCAACTCGATAAAGGTGTTGGATACTAAAAAAAGAAATAATTTATTTAGTTGGACTTACACATTAAGCTATTATACATTTTCAACCTTCTCACAAATGTGACTTTATATAACATAATTTAATAAGTATTAAGTAGTTACCCCATTTTTCTCTAAGTTTAGTCAGGGCCTAGAACGGGTGCGGTTTTTAGGATCTCGTGCTAGCCGACCTTTTCCTTTGTGTATTGTGGCGGAGAATGTAAATTTTTTGAATATTTCATTTTCTGGTAATTGTTTAGTGTTTCATCAAACAAGGATTGCTTTTGTCGCCTCCTGTATTTTGTCCTCGCTTAATTATGGCGTTAACATTCCGCCCATCTTCCATCTGGTCACAAAGCACGCCGTGCCAAAGACAACACGGAATGCCTGAAAGCGTCTCGAGAATTACCGCTCCGGCAGAATGGGCCTTCGAATGAATTACCGCATTAGCAGGGCTCGAACTTGAATATCACTTGGCCAGAAAATGGGCAAAAATGCAGATGAAATTGATGTGAGAGCCCATGTAAACTGGGCTGTGGAGTGCCAACATGCCAGCAGCTCAACGAGTTGCCAGTTAATCATTCACGCCACATTTGCTGCAAATGCAATTTTCAGTCCATCGGCTTGTAGTGCAATCATTCAAAATTGATTAAACCCTGTTGAATTCCGTGGGCCCGTGGGCCCCTGGGCCCGTGGGCCGTGAAGCCAAGCCAACAATCGGAACATTCGCATCTATCAAATAGCCAAGGTTGGCCGACCTGAGGCAGGTTCAACACTCGCCTATGCAAAGTTCAACACTCGCCTGCGAAAATCAAACAATGACACCAATCACAGACCATAGTAATAACCATCACTTACGCTTGTGTTCCCAATTGCCAGTGGACAGCCAATTTGCATAGTCCTGGAAATGTCGACGGGGAATTGACAGACATCCTTTGTCTCATTTTGCCAACTATAAAATGTTCGTTTCGATATGTCGCCGTTACATTATGGCCATGTCTGCCCAAGTACCATTCAAGTTATGATAATGAGGCTTATGAAAATATTATAGCCCCGTTTATTTCTCCAGCCAAGTAGGAAACATTCTGGCAAGAGGAGACTGCGAAGCCAAGGCAACGGAATTTCGATTACGAGGCAAGCGGTTACGTATAAAAACTCAGTTTAATCGGCTCAAATTGGCAGTGAGTTCCTGCATAAATTAATGATAAGCTTACTTAAGGGTCTTAAGGCCTTGAGTTTTAAGCGACTTCCTTCGCCTCTCCAGATTGATAATTAATTCCTGAATTTTCCTCGGCTTTCCCCCCACCGTTGCCCCACAAATTAAATCAATCTCATTGACATACAATCGACTGGATCATCATTATGAGTGCGATTCACGTTCACGGCTGCCAAGCAATGCGAAGAGCCGAGCAGACAAGCCACCCATAAATTGCTCCACTGACAACGGAGCACATATCATATAAATATCTTGAGGCCATTGAGCAAAGTCGTTTGGTAAATTGGAAGGAGCAGTCAGCGTTTCTAGCACGACTGCAGGATACTTTTTCATTTACCACTTTGGTATACCTTTTTCACTATGAATTTTATACGACAAAGGGAACTTTTTTAATGGTTAAATGGTTTAATAAGCCGATTAAGCCGCTTAGGTGCAAAAAATGTATTTTAAATATACATAATTAAAGCATGAGATCTGGTGAAGCAGTTAATTTATGTTTTGTGAACTTATTACTCATACGCAGTGTTGCCTTTTAGCAATGTTTTTCAGGCTTACATTAATACTACATTCTAGAATATTTTTGTAATTTGTTTTCAAATTACCATTTTAATCCGACTTATTTATTGCTTCATTTTGTGGTTAATTATTAATATTTTGCTTTTGCAGCTAACAAGGTACTGTTTAAATGGGTCACTAATAATTAATACCTGAAAATAAAATTTTGAACAAATTTAAAAATGTTCTCATTAAAGTTTATGAACCATTTAGCTTGTTGTTGCGTGGAATAATGGGTTTTCGAAGTCCTCTCGATTAGCGGGTGCAACCAGCAAGGTGTCAGGGTGTCAGAATGTCAGGATGTCAGACGCTCGCTCATGCAACACATTATCGACTAGAAACGGGGGAATGCCGGTTGAACGGCCTTCTAGGCGCGTGGGCGTGTCCTCGGGCCGTCTGCTCTGTGGCAGACTGGCAGGAATCATCTGGGACACCGACACAATGGGCGGCAATCAGAAAGTGCAAGTTTGCGTTCCAGGGCTAGAGCTAACTAAATCGAAATAAATTCAATTGGATTTCGTTGAACTGAATTGGTCGATAATGAAACTTATTGGCTGCGGATTTAAAATTGAATCCTTGTTCACTGGGCGTTTCAAGTCGTTGATTGGCCTTTTAAATGTAATCCGAAACAAATCTTTTTATTCAATTTCCAATTAAAGTGGCACCAATCGGCCATAGGGAGAGACAGTGTGACTTAAAAATAAATAGCCTGATAGCATGTCTTTGTTTTCCCTTCGCAGGCAATCCATCAAAAGCAGTTTCCGCGACAAAGATAAACCTTCGCGGTTCAAGGACCTGCAGACGACGACCCGCTTCCAGGTGGACCCGCAAAATGAGGAGTCGGACGAGTCGAACGATTCGCAGGAGGAGCGCGAGCTGCTGGACAACGAGTACGACACAAAATATGGTAAAAGTTTCCGGTCAGTTTGCATTGCTCCCACCCTTTTTACACAGAGAAAAAGCTAATAATACTAATTGCAAAAAATATATTTTATTTCTATAGAAATAATTATTTAACTTATGTGGTTTTATTTATAATCAATATTTGGAGTTAACAATAATTCGACACAATTTAAAATATAGTTTTAAAGTAGTAACAGAAATAGAAAAAAACTTACAACGGTCGAAATTCATAGTGTTTTGAAACAATTTATAAACCTGTTTAAAAGTATGCATACATAAAACGATGTTATTTTTGATACAGCATACTTTTTGACATATTTATAAGAGATTTAAAAATATTAGGGACTTCTGTAGCACTCTACAATTGTATATTTTAATATAGTAAATTAGTTTATTAAAATTAACTTTCCTCATTCCCTAATTGCCTTTACTTTTATACCTTAATTTAAAGTTTTTGTTCGATACTTTTCTCTGTGTATCCGCTGCTTCGCTGTCGAATCTGCCAAATTAAACTCCCACGCTGTTCCACAGGCATTTTACGCGAGAGGCGTTACCACGTTTGGATAATTATCGTAACATGATGTCCATTCAGGCCGCCTACCGTCCAACGCTCGACGAGCTGCACAATGCCACGCTGACGGGCAAGGTAAGTCTTTCAAACCGCTGGGGATTCGGTAGACTAAATGAAAATTAACGCCTGGGTCATAAACACTACCGAGAACCCTAAAAGGCCACAAATTACATTTTCTCTGGACCCATAAAGTGGCATTCACATGCCTTACGCGCTCGGTGTCGCAGTAAAAGTCAAATTTAAATTTACTCTTCGACGTCTCCGCCAAATTCCAAAAAAATTCAATACCCTTAACCCATGAAGTGACCCGGACCCGGCAGTGTCACTAGCTCGGCGGCAAGTGTCACCCCGGCTCAGAAAGAAAGAAAGCCATTTGCAGGCACATGAGCGTGACTGCGAATGTTTGCCAGGAGTTAAAATAGGCGGTCGTTGGCACTGCAGGCTTTCAAATCCCTTGGAAATTACTTGTCAACTGCAATACTTGCGGTTGGGGTGCACACTTTACGTTAATTTATTCCCAAAATAGGAGAACTTCGGCAGACTTAACCGATTAAATTGGACTGCGGAGCTGTTAAATCTGACAAGTCCATTGACTTTTCATTTGACTTCTAAGCCCTGGTTATGATTCATTTCGAAAAGTTTTCTATACCAAAGACACTGTGCAGTGCCACCAATTGGTCCTAATTGATTTCCACACTTTTCAGACTAATTGCCGATGTTTTCGTCTCACAATTGGCTGAGCAAACGACTGTCAATAAGAGGAAAAATAAATTGCTTTTGGCTGCATACGAAGGTCCATTGAGAAATTGATGCATTGCACAATGTTATTGCACAGACAGACATATACTAGTAATCCATGAGGCAATCACTTTTTATATTAGCTGGCATCCAGATAACATGCCGTCCAATCCAAGACTTGATTCTACTAATTTACTACAACGGAGCTCTCTCAATGTCATTTGAACATCTTGTAATAATAAGCAATTAAGAAGGGGTCTCGTTAAAAGTGCAAAGTTCACAAGTTCAATTGGCGCAGCGGGTGTTGCGGTTTCGGGGGCGTATGATTAATCTATTAATAATGTTCACTGCGGGAGTGCGCCGGCTTGCCAGAATTCCTGGTAGCTGAAGTCATCCATTTCCGAGGGAGATCTTTATTCGTTTGGCAAAAGAAAGGCCCTTTAAAATTCCATGTTACTCCATGACCTGAAATAACCAAGGAAAAGACAGATATTTACCCCACCTGCAGCTTAAGGTTGAGCGTCGAATCATTTATCAACACTAGACAGCTTTATTGAAATTTTCTCAAGAACCCTCTACCCTTTGTACTAAGCGCCCACTTACACTCAGAGAAAATTTTGTATTTTGTATTAGAGCATTTGGGAGATAATTTTGTCCTAATGTATTATTTTAATAGTTAAAAGGAATTTGTGACTGATTTTCACACATAATCTAATATAGCTTACAAAATTATCTTTATGATGGATTTAAATAGACGAAATATGCTAATAGAATGTGTATTATTTATGAGTAGGCATACGATAATCCCATTTGCCTGTGTAAATTTACCGAAGTTTCGTTATCTGTACGCCCGCAGAACACGCACAGCTTGACGCGCAATCAGGACCCGGAGGCGGGCATTATGAACGGGGTCCTGAAATTCGGCTGGATCAAAGGTGTGCTCGTCCGCTGCCTGCTGAACATCTGGGGCGTGATGCTGTTCCTGCGTCTCAGCTGGGTGGTGGGTCAGGCGGGCATCATCGAGGGATTCCTATTAATACTGACAACGACTGCTGTCACGACCATCACGGCCTTGTCGATGTCGGCGATAAGCACTAATGGTGTCATCAAAGGAGGTGAGTTCATAGCCACACCGCTCCCGCCCCCGCCCCTCCTTCTTTTTGCGGTCGCTTTTAAATGGCTCTAAATGGTTTTGACGATAGGTGGCACATACTACATGATATCCCGGTCTTTGGGTCCCGAGTTCGGCGGCTCCATCGGTCTGATTTTCTCGCTGGCGAATGCGGTGGCGTGTGCCATGTATGTGGTCGGCTTCTGCGAGTCCATGCTGGCCATGATGACGACCTTCGAGTGGGAAATCGTGGACGGCGGTGTTCAGGACGTGCGCATCATAGGTTGTATCACCATCCTGCTGCTGCTGATAATTGTGGTTGTCGGCATGGAATGGGAGGCAAAGGTGGGTGTGCATCCTAACGAGCAGTTATTCAGTTAATACCTTCCTTTTTGATTAATTAGGCCCAAATCGGACTACTTATCATCCTGCTGGTGGCCATTGCTGACTTTGTCATTGGCAGTTTCATTGGACCCAAAAGCGATCTGGAACTTTCCAAAGGATTCTTGGGTTACAATGGTGAGATGGGAAAATATTGAACCGTCTTGTACTAAATTGCATTATTACTTCACAGCAACTCTGTTTAAAAATAATCTATTTCCCGACTATCGTCAGGAGAAGGGTGGTGTTCAGCACGATTTTTTCTCAGTATTTGCCATTTTTTTCCCTGCGGCTACGGGCATTTTGGCTGGAGCTAATATCTCGGGAGATCTGAAGGTAGGCTTTATTTATTCTTGTTTTATTACTGGCTATGTAAATGTATAAATTCGAAATACTGAAACGCTTTCTGGTACCATTTCTTATTATTTTCATTGTTTAATTAAATTTGTTCAATAATTGAGTTTTTGATAACGAATGTATATTTTTAGGATCCTCAAAAATCCATTCCCAAGGGCACGATTCTAGCTATTGTCATCACCACCGGAACCTATTTAATCATGGTCCTGCAGTGCGGAGCCACAGTGGCTCGTGATGCCACTGGCAATTTGTCTGATGTGGTTAATGGCTCCTTCGCCTTCCTCGACTGCCAGCCGGGTAAGGTTCTTTTTTAATTACCAGCACAGCTTATTAACCTTGAAAATTAATTAAAATTTCGCCACCTATCCCCCTTTAGGCGAATGCAGTTATGGTCTGCAGAACTCCTTCCAGGTGATTGAGTTGGTTTCTGGCTTTGGTCCTCTGATTTACGCCGGTTGCTATGCTGCCACACTTTCCTCTGCACTGGCCAGTTTGGTTTCCGCACCAAAGGTTTTTCAGGTATGCGATCGATATGTTTGCATGGGGATTAAATTTATATTTAATACAATTTTTTTCAGGCTCTGTGCAAGGATGAACTGTACCCGAAGATTGTTTGGTTTGCCAAGGGTTACGGCAAGAACAATGAACCAGTTCGTGGCTATGTACTAACTTTTATCATTGCATCCGCGTAAGTAGATATTTGAATAACATTTTGATTGTTCAAGTTAAAGTTAATGGAAGAAAACAGTCAAGTTAACCATGCTACCATCATTAAATGGCGATTATCAGAAGATAACTATGTATATTTCTATAAAGTAAGAAAGAAAGAAAAACTATTCATTTAAAAAACCAAAAAACCGAGTATCACAACTATTTAAGCTAACGAAATTGTAAGAATATGTAAGCAAGAATGAATGACATCTTCACAGAACCGAGGATTTAAATTATTTTAGTAAAAGAAAAACTAATAATTTTTATTTTATTATCAAAAATAATTTAAAAATAATTAATTAATTATTTTATCCCTCTGTTTCAGCTTCATATTGATTGGAGAACTGAATCTGATTGCCCCGCTCATATCGAACTTTTTCCTCGCCGCCTACATGCTGATCAACTTCAGTACCTTCCATGCCAGTCTGGCCAAGCCAGTGGGCTGGCGACCAACCTTTAAGGTGGGCAGTTAATATTAAGTCCCTCAGATAAATGTATTAACTAAAATCGTTGTGTTGTAGTATTTCAACATGTGGCTGAGCCTGCTGGGCGCCATTCTCTGCGTGGCCGTGATGTTCCTCATCTCATGGGCCACCGCACTCATCACCTTTGTGGCGGTGCTGGCTCTGTACTTAATCGTGGCCTACCGGAAGCCGGATGTCAACTGGGGCTCCACCACGCAGGCACAGACGTACAAGAATGCCCTGATGTCGGTGCAGCAGCTGAACAATGTGGAGGAGCACGTGAAGAACTATAGGCCGCAGATTCTGGTTCTTTCCGGCCTGCCCAACACTCGACCTGTCCTCGTGGACCTGGCTTACATGCTCACCAAGAATTTATCGCTGCTCGTGTGTGGCCATGTGCTTCGGGGCTCGAGTTCCCAGAAATACAGGACCAATCTGCAGGAAAGGGCGTCCAATTGGTTTCGCAAGCATCGCGTTAAGGGCTTCTATGCCTTGGTGGATGGTGAGGACTTCGAGTCGGGCACGAGGGCCCTAATGCAGGCCACGGGAATCGGAAAGCTGAAGCCAAACATTATCCTGATGGGCTACAAGACTGACTGGCAGACGTGCGATCGCAAGGAGTTGGTGCAGTACTTCAACGTGATGCACAAGGCGCTGGACATGTACCTTTCGGTGGCCATCCTGCGAGCTCCCCAGGGTCTGGACTGTTCGCTGCTGCTGGGTTCCCAGGATGGCTGGAAGCCCTCTTCCGAAGTGCCACGCACCCTGCAGCCAAACGAGAGTTCCGGCGACTTGCAGGCCGTGGACAACAATGCCCGGAATGCTTTGGGCGGCAGCATTGACTCGCTCAGCAGGAATGTGTCTCAAGGTAAGGAACAGGAATCTTGTATGAATTCAAGGAATTAATACCACAACTTAACTATTAATCTGCTTATATCTCGCATGTCTCTCTCTGTACCCCCAAACTCGCACCTGTTTAACAACCCACCCAATTGCACCTTCTGCACCACATTTGCAATCACGTAGAGGACCGAAACCGCAACCAGCTGGTCCACAGCGAGCAGAACAGCCTGAAGATAGTCAAAAGTGAGTAGCATGCTCAGCGAAATGGTAATGGTGAAAACTAGGGTGGACCTACTGCAGAAGTGGTTCTAATTGAAATCTATGAATTCCAAACACATTAAATCAAATATAGCGATTTGAGCTTAAGTTTTTATCTTACCTATGAGACATAAATTGTTTTTTTTTTTTATAAGTATTATTTTTTATAGCGAAACTAATGAATTAAATGAACTCATTACATTATGTTGTTCAAATAATACTAGATAAACTAGACGAATTTTTTTTTTTAATTTTATTAAACAGTCTTTAATTATGTGCAAACCTTATAGTTGGTAAGTCTATCAGGAATAGCAATAGCTTTTTTTAGGAGCCCAAAAATAATCTTTAACGGAGTTTAAATTTGAACCAAGTATAGGTCCACCCTAAATTCAGACCCAAATATCCAATTTTCCGTAATTATATCGGTGTATCTTCCTGTCTTCTGGGAAATTAAACCGCAGTGCGCTTCAAGCAGAGCCTGCGGAGAATCCGCTCCTGGCCAGGTGCAGGTGAAGTTATGTTTTTGCTAAGATTGCGTGTCTTAAGATACTTGAATGGAATGTGAAGTTGTTGTAGGCTGAGTAGGTAAATATGAATGAAATACAAGCAGATGAAACTCACACCGTCACCGAATCTCGCTACCACGCATGTCAGCTGCTGCATGTTGCCTTGACTCGCAAACAAGCCATTAAGTTTCCAGAAAATTAACGACATTTAACAGCCAAACTTGGTTATTTGGAGGTTGCCACTTGGGCCTTCTGGACCTGCGAACCCGTCGGCTGTTCGACATCTGTTCGAAAATTAAATGCAATGCTGGTAAATTTGAATTTTAAATTGTGGCCGAACAATGTCCGGCCAGGAGGCTGCCGTTGATGGGGAATTGGAAATCAGACTGGCCCACATGGTCGCAGCACGTGGCCCAAGGGGTCGGTTGTTTGTTTTGAATATATATGGCATAACCGTTGGGTTGCTGCTGCACTGTTTGTTGTCTGTGCATGTTCTGAATGAAGTTGTCTCGTTGTAGCCAAGTTTTTTGTTAAGCTTATTTGTTGCTCTTGTTTAAAGTGAACTTATATTTCCCATTTAGCCTCCAGCACGAGCGACCTGTCATTCATTGCGGGCAATCAGGCGAAGGATGTATCCGGCATGCCCGATCCGTTGGACACAAAGTCTGCAAATCTTGTGGTAATTGGAAATCCATTTAATTCACCATAATTTGATTAGCTACTTTGCTTCCTTTAGAACAACTCACTGCGCAAGTCGAAGCTGAAGCATGATGACCCAGCCTCCCTGTACAAGGGTCCTGGTGGCACGGAGCTGCCCAAAGAGGTCCTTTCCGATCTCACCCTCTTCACCAGGAAGCGCAGCCACGCCGTCATCGATGTCTGGTGGCTGTATGACGACGGAGGACTCACTCTCCTGCTGCCGTACATCATCAGTACTCGGCGCACCTGGCAAACGTGCAAATTGAGGTGAGCATATCGCGAATTACCGCGAAATTGTTATTGGCTTTATCGCTTGGCTTCTGGCTAACGAGGAACTTTGTGCCAGTAATTTTCACCAAGGGAATTTCCAGCCATGTGCGCGTCCGTCGAGAGCAGATTGGCTGATTACGCCATTTCAAGGTCACATAAAGTTGGGCCACGCTTAAGGGAAATATTTTATTAAATTTTGTTTGATATCTCTCACTCCGATTTTTCATAAAATACCTTTGCGTTGCAAAAGGCTTACTTTTTTTTGCCATGCCAGCCTTAGACTTATTAACCTTGCAATTTTTATTCTTCTTAAACCGAAATTTTCTTTAAAGTAATATTTTTGCAAAATAAAAAATTAGGAAAAAATTTCAGTTGTACCGAATGTTAGTTAGTTTACAAAAATAACTAAAAACATCTCAAAATAAATCTAAAAGTAAAAAATTGCTGCATTTTAGAAAAGGAAGAATGTAGTCAATAGTTCTGTTTCAGTTAGTGGAATCAGTTTGGCATGACTGAGCATTGTGTATTTGTTTCGTGTTTTTCTCTGGAAATTCACAATTAGTTTCATGTCTTTCTTGGGAAATTCACAATTGCAGCAATCAACCTTTGTTTCGTGTAGTAAATCCAAACATTTCAAAACATTTTCCTTTCGCAGAGTTTATGCTCTTGCCAACAAAAAAGCTGAGCTGGAGTTCGAGCAACGCTCCATGGCCAGTTTGCTATCCAAGTTCCGGATCGACTACTCAGACCTGACATTAATTCCGGACATAACGAAGAAGCCGCTGGAGTCATCTACGCAGTTCTTCAACGAGCTGATCAAGGACTTTGTTGTGGCCGAAAAGGAGGGCGAGAATGGAAGCAGCAGTCGGGCGACCCTTAATGAGGATGAGGGTGAGCTTAATTTATATTCCAATCAATATTATAATATTTTAAGACTATCTAGAATTGTTTTAAATTTGAAGTTAGCTAAGAGTAGTAGTGTTTAAGATAACTTTTCCATCAAATTAATCAAACTAATTAAATTACTTCCAAATTAAAAATAGTATTTGGTATGGTAATTTTTCGTAATCAAATGCAAATTGACACGGAATTCCATCAAAACGAGTATTATTTCTTATTTATTTTTTTTACTTTGTCCGTAGACTGCTATCTGAATACAAAACCATTTTGGGTCGCAAAAAATTTATTAATTTTGCACAATTCTGCTTTTTTAGCCCTGATAACCGATGATGATATGCTGGCGGTGCAGGACAAGACGAATCGATACCTTCGCCTACGGGAGTACCTGCGCGAGCAGTCGACCAAGTCGGATCTGGTGGTGATGACGCTGCCGATGCCCCGCAAGAACATCGTCTCGGCGCCGCTCTATATGGCCTGGCTGGAGAGTCTGAGCCGGGACATGCCACCATTCCTGTTCGTGCGCGGCAACCAGACCAGCGTGCTGACCTTCTACTCGTAGGATCAGGATCAGGATCTGCAGTCCGGATGGGATCTATTGTATTCTACTTACACCTACCGACACCCACACACTCTCACCTTTATTGTTAGGCGAACGAGTATTTTATCTCTTAGAAGTACCACCCATGTACATAAATTTAGGGACACCCAACGGAACGCACAGAGGCACTTTCAGCGGCGGAGGGATCGGGAATTGTCTGATGGCCCACTACAGCTGTTTCATATTATTTAATGAGAGGGCTGCCTTTCCCGGTCCATCTCGGCGTCGTCAATATTAACATTTGTCCTAGCTATCGAGTTTAAATCATATTTAAATACAGTGCAAATAATTTTTAAAGTCTCTTATTTATTTCGGTTTATACGGAGCTTGAGAGGTCCTACAAACAAGCTTTACCAATCATCTTAAATCAGGAAACATTTTCTTATATTCTATTGAAGCATTTAAAAAAAATCATGTTAGACCAATTTAAGACCAATTTTGAAAAGCCCCCTTGTTATATCGTAATCCATCAAATTATCGTCAAACATTTTCTGCCCTGTCAATTTAAGTGACTGTCTACTTCAATTTTAAACAGAGTAGGGTTCGCCTTCGAACATAAAACTAGTTGCAACATGTTCGAGTTGGTTGGTGTTGGAACGCAAAAACTGTAAGTGGGATTAGAGGTAAGTTAAGGACTTGAGCTGAATAAAATCTATCTTAAACATTTGTTTTATTTATATATTTGTTAATTATCAAAGAATTCCTTTGGTACGCAGTTATTTTTGAAAGGACCTTATTTTTAATTTAGATTTTAGTAGCTAAGCAACTACAGGACCTTGTGGACCTTATCAAATGTGTCAATTAGCTTTGCAAAACGTGGGGGTGCTATAAAATAATTTTTTTTTTTTGCAACAGTGTATATGATTTGTCTCCTTCTTTGAGCCAGCCAACTAGAAAATGGAGTTTGTACTATTTTAGCATGTAGAATGTTCCTGAAAGCTGAAGAGCTAAACTTTTGAGCCAATTTTGCAAAAAAAAAAACATATTTTTATCTTAAGAGCCAAATAGCGACAGCTTTTTATTAACATTGTGCAACCAATTTGTTTCCTAATAGCCAATTAAATTTGTCGAACAGTAACCATTATATTCTGTGAGTCCTTAGAAACATTTTTCCGAGCCAATACATTATTTACGAATATGGAAATAAAATGCACCCAGCGAAGACTAAATACTTTACACAGCTTTGAAGTCTACATTTGTGAGGATGTCTTGAGGGAGGGTATTTAATGTATCGGTCAGTTATAGTTTCACAAAAAGCCAAGCAAGCTTACCGTGCGATGTCATAGAAACGCTGAAAGGACATGTTGCTGAATGGTGTTTTTCCTTGTATACAAGCTATTCATATGTGCTCTCGTAATAACATGTCAGTTTATTTATTGTTTGGTTCATAGCCCCGCTATTAAACAATAATGAGTCTTTTCATTAAAGCCAAAAATGACGACCACTTCCGTTATTAATGATTGCCCTTGTAGTGGACACTAAGGATTTTTTTCACTTCCTTTGGCCTTAGTACGTGTTCTATCCTTTAAGCTCTTTTATTTTTGGAGTTTTGTTCAGCCAAGTTTTATTGTCGCTCGGTGACTCTACGCAATTCGTTTTTGCCCTGCATTACATTGTTTATTTCTGGTGAAATATTAGGGCTTAACTTTATGTCTCCTTCGGTTAAGATGAGATGGGTACGACATTTATTCGTTTTAAAATGCAAGTTGCACGGAGACTTAGTAAATTGTTATAAACTGGCATAAAACGTCGTAATTGCGGCATTAATATTAATGCCCCTGCGTGCGCTTAATGCTCCGGAAATCGAAGAGGGCATGAGGTCCTGCGGCGATTACTCCTTCGGCTTTTGGTATTTACCTGGGGAAACTTTTATGGTAGCTCGCGGAAGACTGTGGCTCAACTTAAATTGCATTCAGCGGCAGTCAATCGGTATTTCAATAAACCGCCATAAAGTACTGTACTATAGCCCCTGGTGTTTCGTTCGATTCGACCCCATAATCCACAGTCGAAGGTCACCGGCCCGGAGATATCGGACTTGTTGATTTCTTGCTGTGTTTTTCTTGTACTCCAAGCGTGAGAACATAAATAAATATTTAACGAGTAAGCCATTGTCACCCGCACGAAACCACAAAGAAGCACAAATCGAAGAATCGGAATGGCGTCCACGAGTCTCCAGCGGCCAACAAACTCTATGGGACACACGTGGCCATTTTTGAGAACTTTGCACTTTGTCTTTAAAAGTAAACAACATTTGAACCCTCGACTGGGTGGGTACTTTTACATATGTATCGATTTCTTTTGCTCTCGGCTAACTAGTGACTTGAATAATAACTTTTCCAGCCATTTATCTTTTTCTAAGGCCAACATGATACATATTGTTTGCAGAGAACACAAAACCTAGACAAACAGCAGTAACATGTTTTATAAATCACTTTTCTACTTGAGTTTGCCACTTTTTATATTTGACAAAAAGAGCAAACAACCAGATCTCTTGTTGACTGACACTATTTTTGTATTTTCTTTTATTTTTTTCTCACATCCTGTTGGATTTTCTAGCTATTTCCGCCTGTCTCGCCATGAATATTGCAAACGGATTTCTTTTTTTGTGTCCAAAGTGCAGGTAAATGTGCGTTGGAAAAATGTTTTGAAATCAGTTATCTAGTTCTTTTTGAAGCGATTCGCGAAGAGGTTACATTTTCTTTGTGCCTGGGAAAAAGGTTTATAAATCTTATTTCTTCTTCTTTGAATAGGATTATCAGGACACCCATTACTTTTTCTGCGAAGGAGGAGACTTTTTCTGCTGATATGCGTCAGATGGTTTTCTTCAGTTAGTTGGAGTCGCCTCACAGCTTTACCTGCAGGCATCTTAAAAGCAACTTTTAAACTGCATATTATATTTTCAGCTACCTAGCTTTAATTAACAACGTCCTTCAGGGCGTTTAGAGTGAAAAATAATTTTAACAAGAGTTTTACTCAAAGGCCTCCACTGACACTATATTTTTGATGAAAATAATGATGAAAAAATTTTACTGTTATAGGTATTAAATATTCAAGAAAAATGGTACAACGTTTATTCGGTTGATGGTTGAGGTAAATAAAAAAAGCAAAGTAAATTGTATTGGGAATTTGCAGTGCAAACTACCACAGCTAGCTATTCTTTTAAATGCAGAAGAAATACAATATTTTTAAAAGCCAAATTTTAATTTTAGGAGAAAGCAGAAGACTTCTTTTTTAATATCATAGAATGACTTGACCTTGACCTTGATTTTCCTGCAACGTTGGAGTTAACGTTAAAATTCTCAGTAGAAACTACATATTTCATCAAGGCTACCTGCCTAAGCGGCGCACGGCTCATTGTCGTGTGCGTTGTTTTAATCAATTAGGCGTTTTGAACAACAAATGAACTCGTGCGTCGCCAAGCGATTATATGTGTGGTTAAGGTTGCAGGACCCAGGACACAGGACTCCACTCATGTCCTTGCCAGCCGATTAAGCACTTTACGTGCTGCAGTTAACGCTGGTGGCTGACGTGACAGATGCTGTCGCGCAATAACATACGTCCTCGTACACCAAAACTAAAGTTTAGTCGGGCGTAACGTGGAGTAAAACTCTGTTATTTGATTGCCCGGGCCTGTGCCTGTGCCGATGGTCCCTTATGGGGTTACATCTGCAAGATGTCGAATGATGGAGATAGCTCACGCGAACGGGAAACTAACAGGAAGTGGGACAAGCATGACCTTTTTGCTCCGAACTCTACGAAATTCTATGCCTACAAATTTAAACAATTTTCTTTTTGCCCGACTGTGATGCTGATTGTGACAGCAAAAAAGAGAGCTTCAATGAAAGCACACTTGTAGGTCCCGTCATTCCAGTTTAATGGAGTTAAAATTCATTGAGAAAAATGTTTCGAATGATGGTATCAAATATGAAAAATAAGTTTTTAGCCTATCATTAAATGAATTTCCTTTTTTTGCGCCTAGCTTAAATTTATTTATTGAGTTGCTGAAATATAAATAATTTTTTAGGAGAATTTTGTGGACGAAAAACTAGTTTATTTAATAAAACATATTTTTTTAAACTTACGAACTAAATTTATACTACTTTTGCAAGCAAATAACTTTATAACTTACATAATCCATAACCTATAGTGAAGATAAACCTAAAAAGTTTGAAAAATTATAAAAATATTGTTTAAATAGACATACGTAGTTTCCAAATGTTATTTTTATTTTATTTTCGCAGCAGTTGGGTGCATGGCAATAAATTGCATAAATGAGCCAAGATGAATTTTTAGTAAAGCTCGTTTAATTTGTGGTTTTTTCAACCCTTTCTCCGCTTAATTTCCATGCTCACAAGTCTTTAAATGACTTTGTTCTCAGTGTTCGCGGATGTGTGTAGTTCGTTGCGTGGGCGCTGTGTTGCTGAGGTAATGTAAAACGGCGTTGACGCGATGTGGCTGTCACTGTCTGTTTTATGAGATTCACGCTCGGAAAACAGCAGTTCTCATCCCTTTGCGCCCTCGTTGAAAATGCTCCATAAATCTCATCACATTTTCGTTGGCCCTTAAGTTGAATGTGCGGTGCAGATGAACATTCTGAAGTGCGCCTGAGGGTGCGGCATTTGTTATTTGCTGCTTCTTCACTTTGTACTTTCGCAACAGAATGTCTTTCATTACTTTCAAATGAAAAAGTTCGCCAAAGTTGTGCAGCTGATTCATTGATTATCGGCGTAAAATTACACGCTTGCTTATTAAATGGCTATGGCAATAACTTTGCAGCGACATATTGGACTCCCTATTCCTCTTTCTTAGGGCGAAGCTCAGGGCACCTTCCTGGAAATCCATTGTAAGTAGCCTACGATGTCTGTCGCCTGGATTTTCTCAATGTTATCAATTTGCACGATAAGCCGCTTTCGAAAGTTATTAATGCCGTAATGACAGATTTGGGCCCCCAGTTAATGGCAGTAATTCTCCTGTGACAGTCTGATCGATATGCCTTTTGCCTTGAAATTCTCACCAGCACCTCAAACCATTTAATTAATTGCAAGCAAATTTTCGTTGTGAAAATTCATTAAGAGCTAAATTACGAAATAAAGGCACTTAGAATTCAATGATTTCTGTTAAACAGAAAGAAAGAAAAGGTGGGAAAATGCAAAGGAAAGCTCTTTTGCTTTATTGAAATGTGAGTAAGGTAAAGCTAATTTGTTTTTAAAAATCAGACAGACAAATTTTCTTTGTAAAATTCCCAGAAAGGCTTAGTTAGGTGCCTCAAAGCAGTTATTGATCTGTGTATAACTATT